TTAGTGTTCCATTCATGTTTGGAGAACTAACATTACATTACTCCCATGGAAAGTCATATCCTCTCAAGATTTTTGTTTTCATTTTTCACTTAGCTTTGTGAGTTAATTTTGCTTAGGGAAGGGATGATCTGGGAGAAATTCAGGAAGTGATTAGATTTTAGAAACATTTAGAGAAAAAAGTAAAAGTGTAAAAAGGGACAGCACCATGTAAATGTTACTGTGTAACTCAGCATTCATGATATTCATAAATATCAATTAGTTATTTAATTTAAAATATATCATACATTTCATTTAGTTGAAAAAAATGTGGTTAAATGCGTTAAGTGATGCATAATGCTAATGCTTTATATATTAAACACTGTGCTTATACTTGTTCAAGCACTATAAAAAATAAGACAACTGATTTTAGGTAGACAGTTAACACTATGCCCATGCAAGGGAATTCATTTATTTATTTATTTTTATCTATTTTTTTTCTTTAGGCAGAAATGGGAATTGAACTCAGGCTCTTGAACTTGCAGTCATGGAATTTATATACCAATTGCTGTTATAGATTGAAATTTGTAAGATGAGATATTTCTGAGCAAATTTGAAAGCTCTTTGGACAATGCTCATATTTAGAACATGCAGAAAAATAAGTCTGTGTAGACACAGTGCCTTCACTGTATTTTTTTAGAAATTCTAGCAGAGATAGTTTAATTCATTGTGATATTTTTACCTTTCTCAATATTTACATACATATTTCAAAGTGGTGTTCTGCTTCCAATCATGGGCTAAAAATCAAAGTGAAAAAGCCTAAGTTATCCATTCTAATATAAATGCCTTAGAAATCTATATAGAAGTGGCTACTAAGCTTTTATGTGATAGATTGCGAATACACAGAAAGAAATTAAAATCTGTTTTATTTTTAAAATTACATTATTTGTGAAGATGCATTCCTTACAGGAAAAATGAAAAATCTAGTTAAACCTTCTTTATATCAACCTTATGCAATATGCAATATACTCTCCTTATAAAAAAGAAAACCATTAGCCAAATAGGAACAGGTGAGAAATTTGGATTAGAAAGGTAATTTATTACACATGTCAACCACTACAAAGACTTCTAGGGTAAATAAACAGTACTTCATGATTTCAAATTGCCATAAAACTCCGTGAGAAGCAGCCAACTGCAGACAGTTCTGAGACCAAGTTGCTGGCTAGGAACTGCCCCAGTCAGAACTAGAATTGCTGGAAGCATCTTGGACCACCTTATTGGAAAGCTACGATGACATACATGAGTATGTATTTTACAGAATTAATAATAACTGAAAGAAAAAAGAAAAATCATGAGAAGGATAAAAAGTCACCAAACAAAGTACGAGGAATTCAACAAATGTTGCTGTATTGCATCATGTGGTCTTCCAAATAGTTGTTTAGTTTACCAGGTATAAACATGCAAAACTGGTTAAAACAAATGAAAAGCAAAACAAAATGAAACAATAATAACTTTATAAGAAATCAAAAAGAAAAACCTAAATAAAACAGATTTTAAGCATTCAATTCTTTTCAAAGACAAAAATAAATTGGCAGTACAGTTATCCAAATTATCGTGCATAGGTATACATAAATGTCTTCTTCCCTTCTTTCTTTTGTCTGTTTTCTATCATAGTTGTTCCTTCCCACTTAACAAATTCTTTTTCTTTCTTAGTACAAAGATACTGTACTGAAAATACATAACTAAAAATAGTGGTGTGTCTTTACATAATTCTACAACAATCCACCTTATATAGGAAACTTTCAATGAGTGTGTTAATCTAATTGAACTTTTCAATATCAATGAAATTCATTTTGGTCTAAAAGCGGCCATAAAGTAAATGCTTCCTGCGTGATATGGTCCATGGTGTTACCCATGATGCCTTCTTTAGTTGTAGACCCTGTTGCCTACAAAGTCCTTTGTCCTAAAAGGATGAGCACAGGTCGGCTTGTAGTGTATTGGTTACATTACACAAGCAATGCCTACGGCTCTCCTCTTTCTTAAAATGATTTTTAAATATTAAATAAATAAATTTAATCATTTATTTGTTTGTTATAGGGTCTCACTATACAGCTTGGACTCAAGGGGACCCTTGTGTTTCAGTCTGTCCAGCAGGAATATTAACAGGCCTGGGCTTCCACACCAGGGTTTAGTGGCTGGCACAGCATACTTTGGGTTTCTAGGGTTCACACTGCATGCAGTACTGGGGATTGATCCCAGGTCCTTGTGCTTGCCGGGTAGCTGATTAGAATGCTGAACTATCTCAACAAAACCCACAGCTTCATAAGAAATGGACAATCACAGTCATGCTAACCAGAAATTACCAGCTCAGGAAAGTTTCTTTTAGTTTGACACAAGGGAAATGCAGGTAAGAAAATCCATTTTGTTTGTGCTACATTACTCCAGTTATTTTAGAGCCTCCATTCCTGAAATTCTTCCTCTTATAATCAATTAGCAAATGTGATTTTTTTTATTAAAAGGAAACAAAGGGGGCTGGTAAGATGGCTCAGTGGAATAAGCGCTTCCCTGGCAGGCGCAAGGGTCTGAGTTCAATCCCCGGTACCAAAAAAACCCCCCAAAAAACAATTTAACAACACATGGAGAAAAGCAATTATTTTTGTAGATATATCCATAGATGTCTGATTCTAACCCTAATGTAAACATGAGTCAATAATTTTCTAGTATTGCATACATTGCCTGACATGCTAGGAAATATCAGAGAAATGAGTTTCCAGATTTTTTATTAAGATCAATCAGTTTTGACTAGCTTTAAATTTCTGAGAACATCTGTAAATCCTTAATTTCCTGTGAGGTAGGCTCACACTGTTGCAGTGTGGTCAAAATGAGGATTCAATATGTTTCTCCATGGGTTGCCCGTCTCTTTCTATAGCTATCTCTATCTATTTATCTATGACTTTGAAGTTTCTTGACATGATTATTTAAGTGTGACTGAAGTAATATCATTTCTCTTTAAAATATGCTCTGAGGTGCCAGGGAGATGGCTTAGTGGAATAAGTGCTTCCCTGGCAAGCGCAAGGGCCTGGGTTCAATCCCTGGTTCTGCAATAAATAAATAAATAAATAAATAAATAAATAAATAAATAAATAAGCTCTGAAGGGCCCTGGGTGATAACTCAGTAGAATTAGTGCTTGCCTGGGAAGTGCTGGGTCCTTAGTTCAAGCCCCGGTACCACAAAAATGTAAATGAATAAATAAATAAAATACCAAATATTCTCAGTTGAAAAATAGAAAAGGAACAAAAGATATGCAAAAATATCTCTAAACCTGTGAACTCTTTGTTGCTAATGTTGTCTACTGCCCTGCTAAAGATGTAGCAAAATAAAGCAGAGTCCATAAGCTCTCAATTATACAGTGACATTTAAAGAAAATATATAATCAAGTTTTAAATGGAAAATGAATATATGTAAAATTGCAAATTTGAAAGCAGTCTATAATTTCTTATGATTTGTAGAGTATATCACATAACATAGGAACAGATTTCAGATCTACCATTCATTAGAAAAGTTATACTTACCGTAAGATTGATATTTTCTTGGGAAGATTGGCATTTCCTTTATATAGACAGAAGGGTTTGTTTCCAAAGCTACATCCCGAAAGGAAAAAGAAAAGTTGTGATCATTTAGGTCAGTAGAAAAGTAGGTGGTTTTCAGCATCACTATACAGCAATTTTTCTCATGCTTAACAGTGTTGGGAATAGATTTTAGCTCTGAAAAGTGAGTAAGTTGGTTTCAAGGCTACAAAATAATGTAAAATTCCATATCCCTTCACACATATGGAGTCAAATAGGCAGTGTCTTACGCTTATCCTCAACGTGTCCCTGAGGAATTGATTGTAGCTTTGAGATGAATGAAATGGACGTTTAGATGAGCACATTCTGTCCCTCCTCCTACTTATCCAGTAAAGCTCCAAGCAGAGGCTTCTGTGCTTATTGCCAGCACATTCCAGGTCTCTGAATGGGAAGCCCTGCCCTGAATGCACTGTCAGATCCTCATTCAAGGCACCAAATCCTTTAAAGCAGCTAACATTCTTTAGACAGTCCATCTTGTGGCTAATTGTGGCTGCGTTCAGTAAGAGAACTCTCAGATCCAAAGGAGAAACTTTTTTAAAAATGTGTCAATTTCCAAGGCTATGTACATTATTGATTCTTTCTTTGGCCCTTAATTCCATCTTGGAGCCAAATTGAGACTCTGTTTTATTTCTACAGTAGAAAACAGATTTTGAAACTTTGATAACAACTGCTTTGGTGTTGTAAGGGATAATGCAGTTCACCACTGGGAGAATGAGAAAAGGAAATGTTTGTATGTGGTGGATCTGATTTATTTTATTTACCAATGTAGTTTGTAGCTGGTTCCATTTATCTACAAAAACCTCCAATTTGTCTTTTTTATAGTTGAGTAATGCTGCATTCTGTAAAAATACCATATATTTCATATGCATTCCTCAGTGGATGGACATTTGAGATGTTTCCAGGATTTACCCGTGACCAACTATTTGACTATAAACATGGACACACATATATTACTATGTTATGATGGTTTCATTTCTTCTGGAAAAATACCTAGCAGAGACTAGCTGGTCTTAATGACACCTCCAGTCCTAGCTCATTGTGGAACCTCCATACTGATCTTACATAGTGGTTGTACCAGCCTGCACTAAAGACTAATGAAAATCTGAAAGATACAACAGATACTGTGAAAAGGAAAGAAGTTACTCAATGGGAAGGACAAACTGGAATGAGGAGAAGGACAGATGAGAGTGGGGAAAAGAGATTTAGGTATAGATGCAGAATAATTTCGATAATTATATTGTCAGTTTCTGCTGGTATGTTAAAAGGAGCAGTCAGTAATTAAATTATTTTTTATACTCTCTTTTTTTTCTTCTTTTTTGAATTGCTTATTACTGTTTTGTTATATTTGCTTTTGCTTTGTTTTCTTTAAATGAATCGTACATATTTATATCTGGTAATCTGACCAACTAATTTGAGGATACCATCATGTGATACAGCAAGAATTATTGACATCCTTTTACTTTGTTTAGTGAAATTTTCTCTTGTTTTTAATGTAGTTTTCTTTTGTTCTATCACCATTTTGCATTCTGCAAAAAAATTGGGAAAGCTATGAACTTCCTTGAGTAACTTAAGCTTCTTCAACACTCTTGCAAAAAACAGTAGCAAGATAAAGGTACAGTAGTGATCAAGCAATATTTCCTTATCCAGATGCTATTATTTATTCTACTGTAGAGGGTTCAGGCACAAAAGCACATGGATATATCACTGGCCCTGACAAGATAAAAATGAGAACTGGTATACGAAAAAATAACCAGTCTGCTGGCGACTACTGTCAAACTCACCATTTCACATATCCATGTCCCTAGGATTCTTTTGGAGGCCCATCCAAGAAACGTGCATTCAAGAGTGAATTCACATATTATGGACATTCCTGATTTAACATGAATTTGATTCATCAATTTTAATGCTACAGTCAGATCACTGGAAACTTACTAAAGCCCATGCTTTCTTCTTCACAGTAGTCTCTTCAATCAACTTCATGAACACTACTCTCACATACAAGAACCTTAAAGAATTCATGGACTCCTGAGTTTTGCTTGTCTTTGAGAAGGTGAGAGAATCTAAATTATGCAGAAAAATTCAAAATTCAATCACATTATGCACAAGATTGCATGCAGGCTTTCTCTGCAATACCTACACTGAAGTTTCTGAAGGGATTTAGCATAACTTCCTAGTAAAATACCATGATATGAACACTGGGATTTCTAAGTATGATTTGTAGAGTTAGTACATTATTCAGAGTAAATGAGAAAAAGAGCCAGGTTAAGTATTGGCATATTTGTTATGATAAATAAAGTCCAACAAAATGAAATATCAAAAGTAGAACAAACAGTATAAACAGACGGAAACCTCCACAAAAAAATAGGCTCTTACCAACTATGTATCTATAGACAAAATTTAAGGAGTATGGCTTTGCTTTATAGAAAAGGAGAATATTAAAAATTAAGAGAAAGACCATCCAAATAGCTCAGCAGATTACAGTGCCTGCAAGCAGGTACAGGGGCCGGGGGATCAATCCCTAAGCCTGCAGTGCTGGCCCCATTTCCAGGCCACACTCAGACTACAATGAAGACTGGGCATTGTGGCAAGCACCTGTAATCCCAGCTCTTGGAAGGCTGTAAACAGGCAGATCACTGCAAGTCTGATATAGTAATGAGATGCTGAACACCCTGTAGACCTTTCTCTAAAATACAAAATAAAATAAAATAAAATAAAATAAAATAAAATAAAATAAAATAAAAAATAAGAGGAACCAGCCCAAGGGTCATGTAGTGGCGCCATTTCCTTGACCATAGGATGGGCACATGACTCAGGGTTGGCTAATCTATCACAACTCTCTTGTCACCTCTCAACAACAAGTGGCAAAAGAGGCTAGCACCACTAGCTACCTAGTCAGCATGTTCTGCTGGTGACCACTGCCATCATGATGAGAAAGCCTGTGAAGGAGACACAGTGGGGAGCACTATGGAAATGGGTTTTAAGAAGATTGAATTGCTGGTTCTGGTTGTACCTATTCAACTTGTTTGAATTGCCTGCCCCTTCAAGTCTAAATTGAGATAGGTTTCCTGTAATTAGAATTGTTAAGACTCGGTTAATCAGCGGTACTGATGATCACACTCAAGCTGGACATATGCACAAGTCACTGGCTCATTTTACAAAGCTCATGATAGAAATTTTCTAATTCCATACTCACACTGTGTGAAGCATAATGAAATATATTACTGTCAGTGTGCAACAGAGCCTCTTTTGGAACACTGTTTTATTTTTATTTTTACATTAGTATGCAAAAAATAATCAGCACATCCACCATCATTCATTGTAATTGCTTTGATTATACATGCTATAAAAATAGCACTTGGGCTTAGCAATGTAGCTTAGTTGTGAAGACTTATCTGGCAAGCACAAACTCTGAGTTTGATCATGAGAATAATTAAAACATGAAAAAGAAACATGAATATACAGTTTTTGACTTATTTTATTTTAATACTGAGAAATTATTGGCTCTCCAAATGTTTAATGTTGTGATACACATAATGGCGTGGTACCCATTAGTCTAAACATTATGTTTACAATCAATCCCCTATTTTTGAAAGATTTAGGCATCTATTAAATCTGTTCTATAAATCATCTCTTCTGCTTAGGAAATATTTTAAAGGTCTACTCATGAAACAAAAAGGAATGATTTCTTGGGTGAACATACACAGCTAACTTGCCTTTGAAAAGACATAAGCGCACTTTCTGATATACTGTCACCAATGGTACAGTTTTTTTTTCTGTATTTTTAAGGAAAGGTGGGCAGGATGTTTGGGGTCTCACTACTAGACTGTACTCATAGTGATTCTTCTTCTTACAGCCTCCCAAGTGCTGGGATTATAGGCAGGTGCCACCATGCCCAGTCTCAATCTGCATCTCGGGGCACCCCGGGGGCGAGGTCAGCACAGCAGGTCTAGGGATGGAACTCCCAACCTTGCTCCTGCTTACAGGTGCTTTAATCCACTGAGCTCTTTGTCCAGCCCACCAATGGTACAGTTTTAACTCCTACCCCGTTTCAGGGTGTTCAAATCCTGCTGAGGTGCATGAGGAGCATTACTGTGTCTGTACTTTGCAAACATCAGAGGGCATTTTGACATCTGTCCTATAATTAATAGTGGAATATTCACATTGGTGAGTTTCGTATCAGTTGTGTGTACCTCAGATTCACATGTAGTTGTATTCACTAGAGTTTAAACATTGTCATTTGCTGTTTTCAAGAAGGACTAGTTTTCCTTGTGGCCCACCACATACTTCCCAATACCTTGCTCTTTCTGCTCATGGTAAATACCACATATTGACCTTCTGTACAACAGAGATGGGTCTTATTCAACCAAAACTCATATACACTCTATGGTTACTGTACTCTCCAGTAACTATTTCCAAGAGTCAAAAGAGGCACTGATTAAATCTCCCTTGTCTATTTTCAGTTTTACTAATGTGAAACTAATATTCATAGGAAATCACTAGGGCTCATAAACATACACACACAGAGAAATTGAAAGAGATGTCCAGAAAGGAAAGAATTTGGTTACCATGTAAGTTCTGTAAAACCATGAAAGGTTCTTAGAAACCTATGGAAATGTTTCAAAGTATGATTAGAGATTATAATTAAAGGTGTTTTGGAAGACCCACAAATATTATGAGTTTAAAAGTTGAAGTTAATTTGACAGCATACTGGGCTGTTATATGAGAAATTCAGTTTAAAAAATTTTAATCATCTGCATGTAATCATCAGTGAAAGAAATGTCTAAAACATTACTGATATCTAAGCAGTGGAAAATCTATCTCAATTGCAGAATTACTGAAAACATAAATAACAATTTGTGAATTAGAATAAGTGGTATGCATTACTAAAGTATTAAAATTTAACATGAGCAGATTGTCGAAAACTCCTTTTTCCCATTAAAATGATAGAGAAGGCAGTGATCAACAAACTATTGAATAAGCAGAATTCAGAAGAAACACTGACTTCAATATATTTCTTCTCAATAGATTATGTCCACAGTTTACGGGACAGCTTTTGGATGCCTATTTGAAGGCTACAACAATTACCAACTTGCTCATTTGTCTTTGATGTGTCCATTAGATTGACTTTCTGATCCACAACACAACCATTGTAGATATCTATCTACCATGCAAAGTGGTGATTTTGTCAGTGTGGCTACTTTCTACTGCTTGGAGCTGGTTGGCCTCATGAGACAGATTCCACTGCATGAGACAGGGTTCCTTCATGCTATAGTATAGTACTTATTCCTGCCTGACTTCTCTCTTGTAGATTCCAATGACCCACACTGTGATTCAGGCTCTTTATCAATTCTTAATATTCCCCAAACTTTTTTCAAATGGGGGAGCATAGAGGTAGATGCAAAGGCCTTGGTTTCTATCCCCAGCACTCTGCCAAGGGACAGTGCAGTCTTCAATCAACAACCAATTGTATGTTACAAATTTGTAACATACAATTGGTTTTACCTACATTGATCCCTTCCCATCATTCACATGGTTCAAATCAAATATGTCATTTCTTTCCTGCAGTAATTGCTTTCACACTAACATTCTTAGCAGTTGTGCTGTATTCTTCTGACAGGAGGGTGAGGAAGGTAGCAGAAAGGTGGCAAAATCCTAGGGATGGCAAGATAAGCCCCATGAAAGCCCCAGCTTTACTCTTCTAATTGACCTCTAAA